CTGTCTTCGTCAAGCAAGAGTCGGGCTTCGCCGTTAAGGGAGAGGAGCACAAGGTGTTGCGGCTGCGGAAGGCACTCTATGGGCTGCGTCAAGCCCCACGAGCGTGGAACGCCAAACTCGATGCCACCCTGGCTACGCTTGGGTTCACGCGCTGCGCGACAGAACATGCGCTCTACACGCGATGACGGGGGAAGGAGGAGCTCGTCGTCGGCATGTATGTGGATGATTTGATGATCACTGGGGCACGAGAAGGGGACATCAACAGCTTCAAGCGCGAGATGGCAGCTCGTTTCCGCATGAGCAATCTCGGGCAGCTCTCCTACTATCTCGGCATCGAGGTGAAGCAGGGAGGAGACTCCATTACTCTCTGCCAGCGTGCGTATGCGGGGAAGCTGTTGGAGCGGAGCGGCATGGCTGATTGCAAGTCATGCGCGACTCCGATGGAGGAGCGGCTGAAGCTGACGAAAGCCAACACCGCGGCGAAGGTGGATGCAACACTCTACCGGAGTATCGTCGGCGGGCTGCGCTACCTAGTCCGCACGAGGCCAGATATCGCATTCGCCGTGGGCTATGTCAGCCGCTTCATGGAGGACCCTCGAGAGGATCATTGGGCTGCAGTAAAACAGTTGTTGCGCTATGTCAAGGGGACGGTGGATCAGGGCATTATTTTCCCCAAGACCGGCGACAGAAGTGAGTTGTGACTCACGGTTTTCAGCGATGCAGACATGGCAGGCGACATTGATGGGCGGAAGAGCACCTCCGGTGTGCTCGTCTTCCTTGGATCGGCCCCAATCTCATGGCAGTCGCTAAAACAGAAGATTGTGGCGTTGTCTACGTGCGAGGCAGAGTACGTGGCGGCAGCCACAGCGGCATGCCAGGCGGTCTGGCTGCGTCGGTTGCTGGGCGAACTGACCGGCGAGGAAGCTCGTCCACCAACTCTGATGGTGGACAACCAGCCTGCCATTGCCCTTACAAAAAATCCAGTCCTCCATGACCGAATCAAGCACATCGATACTCGTTTTCACTTCATCCGTGATTGTATCGATGAAGGACAGATTGTTTTAGAGTTTGTCGAATACGGACGGCAGCTCGCAGACATCCTTACCAAGCCACTCGGTCGTCTTCGGTTCATGGAGCTGAAGATCAAGATTGGAATGGTGGGAAACAAGAAAGAGCAGCAGGATTAGGGGAAGAATTGTAAGATATAATCCTGCAGTTTCCTTGTTAGTAAAGTGTACCTTTCTTGCACTTTCATTACACTTTCATTGCAGTTTCATGGCACTTTCATAGCAGCCATTTAAGGCTGATTTTTCAGCTCAAGAAATTTCTAGAAAAGCCACCAGAATAGTTGTTTTTAGTTCTTATAAATAGGGATGCAATTTTTCATTTGTAAACACACAGAAAAGCTTAATAATCAATACATTGAGTTGTTCACAATCTTCTTCTTTCATCCTAAAAGTGTTCGTTTGTACCGGAAGCATTTTTTGCTTACCTGAGCAGTGAACGAGCAGGGACTAACAAGGCGAAGGAGCTTCATCACCAATCGATCAAGTCCTTAACCTTTTGCACCATCATGTACTAGCCAACATCTCCAAGCTAGGTCTTTCCTGTGAGTGCTAAATAAAGTTGACATTTTAATTTTGAATTTTTTGTTGGATAATTTTCTTGATTTGTATCCTCTCCATAATAACTTATATCCAATCACCCCTTTATTCGGTCTGTATGGATAACTTTTCGTGGGGAAACAGGGAGAAGACAAAACCTATTGCAATAGAGTAACTCTTGATTTTTAATGTTGGATGAGATCATCAATTATGTGGGATCCCTACAACGCCAAGTTGAGGTAATTATGAGTGCTTTATTTATTTATTGTAGTTATTTGCCTTTTCTCAATGTGAACTTTGCTTTACTTTTCCAAGAAGTTGATATGAGTGCATTTTTCACTTTACAACAGTTCTTGTAGATGAAACTTGCAATGGTGAACCTTAGCTTGAATTTCGATATGGAAAGGGTTTCTTGCTAAATATGTAAGTCATTGGGTTTAATTAAAAAAAAAAGGAAGAAAAAATCCTGCCAATTTGTCGTCATTTGTTAGCCGCGGTGTCGGTAATGGAGTTCGGTGCAGTTGGCGAGGGAAGGCCCAATAGTACTACTGACCGGAATGTTTCTGCTGCAAAACAAATGCAGCGGGATGATGCCCTTCAGAGATGGAGGTCTAGAAGAAATTGTTTGCTGCCTGTGCGCAACAAGGTTCTGGTTCTGCTGTTTCGCTTAGATTTTCAGATATTTCTTCTTCTTTCTTACGTGTTGGTTTGGATGCAGCCAGTTTTGCACAGATGTTGTGTGTTGCTATGGGTGCTGTGCAGCAAGATTCAGCAGATACGAGAGGTGGTTCAATATCGAAAGCATCCATTGGGCCCTGGAATGGCTGTTCAGCAAGTTGTTCAGGTCTTTCTTTGTTTTTGCTTATAGATCATTATATTTTTAATTTAAAAGGTGGCATCATAATCCAATCTGCAATTATAATTACTTCTTTGCCAAGATCTTTAATGGGTAGATGCTCGTTGGTGCTACCGGTGGCGCGGCCTGTAGGTTTCATCAGATCATGCTGACTAAAATTGTTTTCTTATTTGCCGGTAATAAATGATTTTTGTTCGTATAGATTAAAACTTTTGATCAGCTGCATTTTCATTTCTTGCTGCTACTGCTTTGGTTGATTTGAAGGTCAATGATTTTGAAGCAGCATATGGTGTTGGTAAGACACAATTGCTAATTGCATTGCTCTATAGCTGTAATAAATATTTTGGGTTCCTCAGCCATTTTGTAAATAGGAAGATAAACTTCTGCGCCAGAGCATCTTTAAATTATTTTTTTCGGGTAGTCTTGATGACTTTTTACAAATACTTTATAAACAAGTGTTCAGTTGTAACTAATCACAAAATTTGATTTTTTTTTCGCTTGTTCTGTTCCTCTTAAAACGAGATTTTAGGTTATTGTGGAAGATATCAAACATGCTATCACTCAAATTTTTGAAGAGAATAAAGTTGTTATTGTGGA